TTCAGGGACCAGGAGGAGACCCACCGGGACACTAAAACCCGGATCAGACCCGGATCTGGATCTGGACTCAGATCTGGACCTGGTTCCGGTTCCACTTCCGGTTCCGGTGAGCCGCTGCCGGATGTCCTGCAGCACCTCCTGGACGCAGTCGTGCTGCCACTCCCCCAGAAGCTCCGACAGGTCGAACCCCCCCTGGCTGCTCCCCGGGGGGTCCGGGGGGGCCCTCCAGGTCCGCAGGATCTGGTTCCGGACCGAGGCCAGGCTGGTGCAGCAGGGCGGGGGGTCCCTCCGGGGCCCGGAGGCCGTGGTGGTCAGCCGGCCCACGGACAGGAAGAACCGGCTCCGGGTCCGGTCCTGGGCCGCGTGGAACCGGAGTTGGAAGTCCTGCAGGAACACGGTGGCCCCCACCAGGCTGGAGAAGCTGTCCCGGTCCTCCTGGTCCTGGATCAGGTCCCAGGCCGCGGCCGTGAGCACCCCCGGGATCTGCACCGCCCCGTCGGACAGGAAGAGGATCCCCCCGGGGTCCTCGGACCCTTTCGCCTGGGACTGGGTCATCTGGCCCAGGCCCACCACGTGGGCCTTCAGCTGCCCGGGGCCAGGGCCCCCCTCCGGGCCGCCGTAGCCCAGGATCAGCGCCTCGATCCACGGATCCAGCTTGTTCCGATCCGTCGAAAACATGGCGGACTGGAAGCGGTCCGTCTGCGATTGGCTTCCGGCGGTATACCGGCCCCGGCGTTCAAAGGTTCCCCCCATCGCGGCGTCACTTAAAAAACGCTAAAAAATTTAATTCAGAGCAGAAATAAACATATTTTCACCGGGAAGTGACCCTCAGTGCCCAGTTTGACCTGAATTGAACGACTTTTAGTCTTTTAGTCTCCGTCAACAGTCAAAAGCTGGTCGCGCCCTGCCTGTTTTAGCCTTTCATTTGTTCCCAGCTTAAAATAAAAAATAAAGACCACATCTCAGGGTAAAATAAAAAATGTAAACAAAACTCAACCGGTGTATACTCGGTGTTATGACATATGTATACAAGTTCTATGGTTAGGGCGATGATTAGTTAAAAAAAATACTGCAGAACAAACCGGAAGTGAAAAATAAAGACCACATCTCAGGGTAAAATCGCTCAGTTAAACTAAATAAACCGGTGTATACTCGGTGTTATGACATATCATATGTATAAAAGTTCTATGGTTATGGCGATGATTAGTTAAAAAAATACTGCAGAACAAACCGGAAGTGAACGTCCCTTCAATTTAAAACCACGAACATTAGCAAACTTTTAAGAATGATTTCATTTAAAGGGGCTGAGTAAAAAATATGCGTATGTAAAAAGTATTAAACATTTTTCAACACAAGTTTTTTTGTGTCAACTTCTTCTATTGACACCTGACGTGCTCTTTGGTGGTGAATTGTTTTAAAATAAAAAACCTTCTTTTTCTTTAAATGCTCCCAAAACCTTTTTTTTCCCCCAGCGGACAGAATATGTAACAAATAAACATCTGCTCACAGTATTGAACTCAAACTGGTTACGGAAACTGCTGGAGGCCAGTTGGCCTGCTTTCCGTTCACCTCGTGGTGCATTCAGGTGTCCTCCGACATTGAACCTTCAGTCACAACGACCGCAAAGAAATGTTGATTATGTACATAAAACTCCTTATATTTCAGATTACTTTCTATTTAAAGAGGGCTATTTGAAACGTTTAAATTTAGATGAGCTGTTGTTGGTATTCAGTTACACATGCGTGTTTGTTGTTTAAATATTTTACGAGCCTATTTTTCCGAGTTTTTGCTGTCTTTGAACGCAGCACCATACACGCCTTAGCGTTTACTTGCAACATTTCTCGCCCGAAGTGATTCATGTTGTTGTGAGAGTTCCCTGAAAACAGGAGTTCTTCTTTGTCCAAAGGTAAGAAACCGAATTAGTCAAAACTGAGAAAATTAGTCAAATCATTCGCAGAGACGCAGCTTTGGAGCCTGAGTCTATTTATTGCTTCACCTGTCCGGGAAAACTTCACCACATAACCATTTTTAACCGACATTAATCCAACAGTGACTCATTCTGATGATTTATGGAGGAATTATCTGCATGTTGTCAGTTAGGATTTTTTTATTTTTTTCATTTACACGTCCATTTTCACACTAGCTTGGTCGGTTCGACCAGAACTCATACAGAAATGTTCAATTTTAAGAGGTTTTGACTCGGTACGGCCAGATAGAGAGTTTTCTGAGTATGAAACTTATTTCATATTTATGGCGAAATGATCTGCATGTTGTCAGTTAGGATTTTTTAAAATTTTTCATTTACACGTCCATTTTCACACTAGCTTGGTCGGTTCGACCAGAACTCATACAGAAATATTCCATTTTAAGACGTTTTGACTCGGTAAAGCCAGATAGAGAGTTTTTTAGAGGATGAAACTTATTTCTCTGGAATAAACACG